TTATAATAATTTAGCAAAGCATGCATGATTATTAAACATACAGCGTCTCTCTGATGCTCGATTAAAAGTCCCAGCCAATTATCAATTCTCAACGAAGCTCTACTCTAAACAATTCTCTGAAATGTCACATTTGTCTCTATTCATTCCTCAGGTGTGAAATGATTGAAATTCCATTACACAAATAAAAGTCAGTCAATCAGTCTATAAAGAAATTATCCTGACCTTCATAAAAAAATACAAAATCCATAGGCTCATTGGAGAGAAACCTCAACAATATATTCAGATGAATATTAATGTCATACTGTACGTGCCTGCACAGAGTCATTCTGGCGTTCTGTCAGTGGATAACAGCAGGGATCCATCCATCCATCCATCCATTTTCTTCCGCTTTATCCGTTGCCGGGTCGCGGGGGCAGCAGTCTAAGCAGAGACGCCCAGACCTCCCTATCCACACACACTTCCTCCAGCTCGTCCGGGGGGACCCCAAGGCGTTCCCAGGCCAGCTGAGAGACATAGTCCCTCCAGCATGTCCTAGGTCTTCCGCGGGGCCTCCTCCCGGTGGGACGTGCCCGGAACACCTCCCCAGGGAGGCGTCCAGGAGGCATCCGGAACAGATGCCCGAGCCACCTCAACTGGTTCCTCTCGACGTGGAGAAGCAGCGGCTCTACTCCGAGCTCCTCCCGTGTGACTGAGCTCCTCACCCTATCTCTAAGGGAGCGCCCAGCCACTCTGCGGAGGAAGCTCATTTCGACCGCTTGTATCCGCGATCTCGTTCTTTCGGTCATTACCCAAAGCTCATGACCATAGGTGAGGGAGGGAACGAAGATTGACCGGTAAATCGAGAGCTTTGCCTTTCGGCTCAGCTCCCTCTTTACCACAACGGTCCGATACAGCGACCGCATCACTGCGCACGCTGCACCGATCCGCCTGTCAATCTCACGCTCCATTCTTCCCTCACTCGTGAACAAGACCCCGAGATACTTGAACTCCTCCACTTGAGGAAGGACCTCTCCACCCACCTGAAGAGGGCAGGGCACCTTTTTCCGGTCGAGCACCATGGCCTCAGATTTGGAGGTGCTGATTCTCATCCCAGCCGCTTCACACTCGGCTGCAAACCGTCCTAGTGAATGCTGCAGGTCCTGGTTCGTTGGAGCCAACAGGACAACATCGTCCGCAAACAGCAGAGATGAAATCCTGTGGTCCCCGAACCGGACCCCCTCCGACCCCTGGCTGCGCCTAGATATTCTGTCCATAAATACAGTGAACAGAACCGGTGACAAAGGGCAGCCCTGTCGGAGGCCAACATTCACCGGGAACAGGTCTGACTTACTACCGGCAATGCGAACACAGCTCTGGCTCCGGTCATACAGGGACCGGATGGCCCTCAGCAGAGGACCCCCGACCCCGTACTCCCGGAGAACCCCCCAAAGGACACCCCGGGGAACACAGTCGAACGCCTTCTCCAAATCCACAAAGCACATGTGGACAGGTTGGGCGAACTCCCATGAACCCTCGAGTATCCGATGGAGAGTATAGAGCTGGTCCAGTGTTCCGCGACCGGGACGAAAACCACACTGCTCCTCCTGGATCCGAGATTCGACCATCGGCCGTAGCCTCCTCTCCAGTACCTTGGAGTAGACCTTACCGGGGAGGCTGAGGAGTGTGATCCCACGATAATTGGAACACACCCTCCGGTCCCCCTTCTTATAGAGAGGGACCACCACCCCGGTCCGCCACTCCATTGGCACCGCCCCCGATCGCCACGCGATGTTGCAGAGACGTGTCAGCCAAGACAGTCCTACAACATCCAGAGACTTTAGATAATCAGGGCGGATCTCATCCACACCCGGAGCCTTGCCACCATGGAGGCTACCAACCACCTTGGTGACCTCAGCCAGGGAGATGGATGTATCCGCCCCAGCATCCTCAGCCTCTGCCTCTGAGACAGAGGACGTGACGGGGGGATTGAGGAGAACCTCAAAGTATTCCTTCCACCGCCCGACAATATCCCCCGTCGAGGTCAGCAGCTCTCCACCCGCACCGTACATGGTGTTGGCAAAGAACTGCTTCCCCCTCCTGAGGCGCCGGACGGTTTGCCAGAATTTCTTTGAGGCCGACCGATAGTCATGCTCCATGGACTCTCCGAACTCCTCCCAGTCCCGGGTTTTTGCCTCTGCAACAGCCCGGGCCGCGGCACACTTGGCCTGCCGGTACTGGACAGCTGCCTCAGGAGTCCCCCGAACCATCATGGCTCGATAGGACTCCTTCTTCAGCCTGACAGCTTCCCTTACTGCCGGTGTCCACCACCGGGTTCGGGGGTTGCCGCCGGGACCAGCACCAGAGACCTTGCGACCACAGCTACGGGCCGCCGCATCGGCGATTGAGGCAGAGAACATGGTCCACTCGGACTCCATGTCCCCCTCCTCCACCGGGACCTGGGAGAAACTCCCCGGAGGTGTGAGTTGAAAGTCCGTCTGACAGGGGGCTCAGCGAGACGTTCCCAGCAGACCCTCACTATACGCTTGGGTCTGCCAGGTCTGACCGGCTTCTTCCCCTGCCAGCGGATCCAACTCACGACCAGGTGATGATCGGTTGACAGCTCCGCCCCTCTCTTTACCCGAGTGTCCGAGACACGCGGTCGAAGGTCAGATGATACGACAACAAAGTCGATCATCGACCTCCGGCCTAGGGTGTCCTGGTGCCACGTGCACTGGTGGACACCCTTGTGCTCGAACATGGTGTTCGTGATGGACAAACTGTGACTGGCACAGAAGTCCAACAACTGAACACCGCTCGGGTTCAGATCAGGGGGGCCGCTCTTCCCGATCACCCCTCTCCAAGTGTCACTGGCGTTTCCCACATGGGCGTTGAAGTCCCCCAGGAGAATAACGGAGTCCCCGGGCGGTGCACCGTCCAGTACCCCTCCCAAGGACTCCAAGAAGGCCGGGTACTCTGCACTGCTGTTAGGCCCGTAGGCCGTCACAACAGTGAGAGACTTGTCCCCCACCCGGAGGCGGAGGGACGCGACCCTCTCATTCACCGGGGAGAACTCCAACACGTGGCGGCTGAGATGGGGGGCAATGAGAATGGCCACCCCAGCTCGCCGCCTCTCCCCGCGGGAAACACCAGAAAAGTGGAGCGTCCAACCCCTCTCAAGGAGTTGGGTTCCAGAGCCCAAGCTGTGTGTGGAGGTGAGGCCGACTATCTCTAGTCGGTATCGCTCAACCTCCCCCACAAGCTCGGGCTCCTTCCCCCCCAGTGAGGTGACGTTCCACGTCCCGAGAGCCAGCTGTTGTGTGTGCGGACTGGGTCGTCGAGGTCTCCGCCTTCGACTGCTGCCCAGTCCTCTCTGCACCATGCCACCACGGACCCCTCTGCAGGTGGTGGGCCCACAGGAGGGACTGCCCACGTCGTCCATTCGGGCTGAGCCCGGCCGGGCCCCGTGGGCTAAGGCCCGGCCACCAGGCGCTCGCCTACGAGCCCCGACCCCAGGCCTGGCTCCAGGGTGGGGCCCCGGCTGCGCCATGCCGGGCGACGTCACTGGTTTCGTATGAGTGCTGTCCATGGTGTCTTCTGGACTGCTCTTTGTCTGACTCGTCACCCGAGACCTGTCTGCCATGGGAGACCCTACCAGGGGCATGAAGCCCCAGACAGCATAGCTCCCAGGATCATCCGAGTACTCAAACTCCCCCACCACGTTAAGGTGGCAGTCCAGGGGGGATCAAGATTTCAAAGTGACACTCGGATTATTTCTGAAAAATACTGAACAATCAGTATTGATTGGTAAAACTTCTACATTCATTAACTTATTATCTCACAACAAGTCATCCTGAATGAACTAAATTGATGGATGCATGATGATTTTGACAACTGATAAAAGTGTCTTCCAAATCACTGAAATGAATATGAATGAGTTTAAATAAACTCATCCATATTAATCCACTCATCCTTTCAAAAACATCACAAGAATTTGCGAGATCAATGAATAAATTAGAAATCATGTAGAACAGTTATTTTAGTCTAAAGATCATGTTAGGACAGGACGTTCACGACGCAGCGAGTCACATGAGTTCAAAAAGTCACTTAGGATCCTCAAACAAGAAGTGTCTGAGTGTGTGTGTGTGTGTGTGTGTGTGTGTGTGTGTCCAACAAGCTATTGGATGTTGTCACAGCAATTTCTCAACACAAAAATATAAATAATAGGTACAAAACTTGTTCAAAAGTTCTAAAGATGACAATGGACATCCTTAGTTAGTATTGCTATTTTAGTTTTGTCTGCATAGGTTTCCTCCGGTCGCTCCAGCATGAGCCTCCTGTATGTGCCTCCTGTATGTGCAGTGTGAGAAGAAACATTGTAAAACGCAGTGTGACTCTCAGGCTGTAAATGGGCTTCATACATAAAGATGACTGACTGACTAAGTCGTAGGGGATACGGATGTGAACATGCAAATGCCGGGGCCTCACTCCCTCACACCCTGAAGAACTCTGCAGAATGTTCCATGTGGCGAGGGGACTGTGGTCAAAGACTAATGTCCCTGTTCCGGATACAGCAAAAGAACATGGATGGATGGATTCTGCTTTTTCACGGGCTTAGCTGTAAAATCTATTTCTTCTCTTTTCATGATTTGTGTTGTACACCGCATATTCATAAACAACACCCACTTTCTGGGGGTGGTTTGTAATCTGCACAATATTCTAGAATATAAATTCCAGGATATAACAATAAAGCAGAATGAAAGCTTTGTATTTCTTGAAGTTGACAAGGAAGATTTAAACCATAATACAGGATACATCTCTGTGAACCACCATGGTTATCAACAGTGGTTATCAGTATTCCCTCATCCATTTACTGAATGCTCCGAGTGGCATTTCCAACAGTACAATAACTGTATATGTTATCTGCACCATGGGAGGGGCAGAGATTGGCTGCTCTATCACTGTAGGTCACAGGGGCTATGTCCTAAATACATGGAGTGTGTAGTCAGCCCCACATACAAGGATCATCCCCCAAGCCCCCTCCTCGCTCCTGCTCGCTGCTGGAGCTGCCAGAGACTGGATGAGCCATCAGTCAGGGCTGCTCCGACTGCCCTCAGGGAGGACAACAGAACACAGAGCAGCCGCTTGACCGCAGCATTAGAGGAGCACACCGCGGACAGAAGGACGCCGCGACTTTGAGACACAACTACATCAGTCGCCCCCTGACAGCTGCTGCCACGGTTTTGTCTGTGACGTATTGACTGATCAGATCTGTTCAATAATTCAGTGTCAGGAAACAAACAGACAGAGACGGGATCATGGCGCACCAAAGCTCTGGAAGTTTATTTAGGCTTCTCCCAGGTTCTAGTTGTTTCAAACAGAAGAGAGTCAGCAAATGATTTTTATAGTCATTGTTACGTCACAGATACGTCACACATGGAAAGACATACGTGTCACATTCAGAGACACTCAGAGCATATTATAGTCATAACATGAATGCACAATCAGAGCCCTTGTAGAGTCTTGCAGTTGTCCACCTGGTAGGTCATATAGCGGTCTAATCCTCATATAAGTAGCATCAAAACAGCTGCTAATCAAAGGAATTTGCCATTGATTCACAAGCAATAAAGCAAAAATCTCACAAAGATAAGATAAGATAAGATATACTTTATTAATCTCACACAGGAGAAATTTGAGTCCATCAGATTTGCAGTGCCACACATGCTATACATGTTCATTTTAACATCTTTCACATCTGCGTTTGCACACACATAAAGTGTTATTAGTGAAATGGTCAGACACAGCCTGTTCACCAGCTGAGTAGGTGTTAAATGCTTGAATACCCTCCAACCAATTACAGCAGTCACTAGAAACCACAGCTTTCAGTGACAACCCGTAATTATCATTCTAAGTATTTTCTGAAGCTGCGCCATCTTACGTCTGTCTAGAGGAAGTGGGCTTGTTCTGACAGAGGCAGACAGACATGGATGGAATGGAATGGGTTTGAAAACGGTCCACTGAACCCTTCAAAGCCTCGCTGGGACCCTCACTCAATGTTGGTAAGAGTGTTTTGCAGCCCTTCGCCTCTGAGCTCTGTGGTGTAAGATTTCCCCAGCTCAAGAACTTTCCAGGGAGATGTCTGCGTCAAGAGTAAACAGCAGAAAAAAAAATAGTTTTAGAACATGTCCAAGTAAACTTTGTAAAGACTGTAAAAAATATTAAAAAAATACAAATGTTGAAAAATGTGGTTTAAATCCCTATAAATGTGTGTAATACAATTTTGCAATAAAAGTTAAAGCCACGTATGTGAGAACAGTGTTGCATCACAGGTTACAGAACGGTAGGAATGAGAAGCACACAAACAAGATAAATGAAATAAGAATAACTCACTTTTTGATTTTATACTTAATATTTAGATTAATAAAAGTACAAAACATATGAACAAAGTAAGTATTAACCTATATAATCTACAACCTGGATTTCAAAAACTGGATTCGAAATGGATTGACTGTATTCAAGAATAAAAAATGGGTTATGATTTGTCCTGGAATGTTAAGAAAACAATCATAAAACAAATGACAGTATACAACGACTGGATTCTAGAGGGTCTGAGATTTACAACAAGGAATAGCATGACTGACTGTATCGGTGGAGCTGGAGTTGGTTGGATGACACTGTCAAATTGCCACAATAGCTACTTTGTGTTAGCAGCAAAGGGCCACATAAAATGGCACAGAGGGCCGCAATCGGCCCGCGGCCCTGAGTTTAGACATGCCTGCTTTAGTGGAAATAATCAAAAACTTGTATGTAAGCGATAAAGTTAAGTTCACTGTAGGACTTCCATCGCAGTCGTAATGAAGAAATCCCCCCAAAAAATGTTTTATTACAACTAAGAATTTTTTACCTGTAGTCACTTTTGATATGTGCTGAAACTGGTTAATATAAGGCACACACACAAACACACACAGAGGCACACACACACACACACACACACAGAGGCACACACAAACACACACAGAGATACAAACACACAAAGAGGCACACACAGAGACACAAACACGCACAGAGGCACACACACACACACACAGAGGCACACACAAACACACACACACACACAGAGCCACACACAGAGGCACACACACACACAGAGGCACACACACACAAACACACACAGAGACACAAACACACACACACACAGAGACACACACACACGCGGAGGCACACACACAGGCTCAAACAAACACAGAGACAAACACACACAGAGGCACACACAGAGACGCAAACACACACAGAGGCACACACAGAGACACACACAGAGACACAAACAGAGACACAAACACACACACTTCTGATTATTTCACATTTACACTACTCAATCTGCTCTCACTGCCATTTCCGTTGACTTTAATTATTCATAAAGGTGAATAATTCATTGTAGACTTTATTTATACATGGCGTGTTGCTGCGGGTGTCAGTGTTTTGTGTTTGTTCCCTTTGGTAAAGCTCGAGACATTCTGCTCTATTCTCATCCTGGGGCATAACGCGCTGCACTCTGGTCTGTGGCCAATGCTCTGCAGATGTCGCTCTGTCGTCGATGGAAAACAAGCTCCAATTGTGAATTAAAGTAGCGTTACACATTTTACACAATTAATCTATATATATTTTTTCAATCTTGTGTGATTTTTTTTGTTTTATGGTTTTGAAATACTTGTGTGATGTTATTCTTTGTTTTTAATACCTTTTTGTGATCATAATGCTTGTTTTTAATCGTATTTGTTAATGTATATGAAGAGTTTAATGTTTAGGATTTATGCTTGATGTGATATGGGCTGTGAGGCGCTTTGTGTTGTCTTGTGTATTAAGGCGCTCTAAAAAAAAACGGATTGATCGATTGATAAATATGAAAAAAAACAAATGAAATGGCATTTTCAGACAAATATATGCAATACATTTTTTGTCTTTAACTTTTAGAAACTGTAAGTGCACATTATGAGCGCCTCCAGGGATCATGAATTACTGCTTCTAAAAGACCTGGAGGAGTGAGCTTCAGCGTGGGCGGAGGAGAACAGCCTCATGGGTAATCAGATATTGACCTGAAAATACTGAATATTTTGCTTTTACTTACAAGAAGTGTGGTCCATCTTACAGAGTGGTCTTGTATTTATAATGGTGCCCATAAATCACCAGTCAATGTTGTTAGCATCAAAATATCAGTAAAAAGAGCTACAATAAAACAAACAGACAAACAGAGACACATATTCAAGATTTACATGTAAAGTAGATCTTCTGTTCTCTCTATGACGGATTAGACTTTTTCTCTGGACGCGAGTGATTGAATATAAGATTCACAGAGTTAAGACATAAATATGGTCTAGTTTATTGGTTTGGACGTTCATGTGTAATATCAATGTAAGGAATGGGAGCCTTCAGCTATGACCCTACCTACACACTCCTACTGATAAGAAACACTGGGCTCCGGGAGCCATGGTTTACTGATAGCGCCTAATCCTTAAAGGCGATAGGCCTGTGGCAAAGATTCACATGCAATAAACTTGCATATGTCTACTTACAACATACAGTATAAATACAATATATGTGCCCTTTTGTGGAACGTAGAGGACATAAATAGCGTATGTATAGATTTCTTCTTGTTTTCCTAGGACATAGTGTCCAGTGTTATTAGCAAAGATGTGGAGAAAAAAATTATTCAACTGATGTGATTCCTCGTCCAACTGGTGTGATTTATTAAGGTTGTCTGCATTTATGACCAAAATGCACAGGCCACGATGGTAAAATGAGATGTTCTGTCCAAAGGACTTTGAAGCTCTAATACAAGACTAACTTTGATCAAATCTGATAAATAATAAAGAAATGTTTTTGTAAATACTGATTAAAACACAAAACATTTATGATCAGAGAGACCAGAATCATGGTAATTCATAATCGTTATTCATTATTCACTTGATGGGATGTACTTCACATTAATTGGTTACAAGTCCATATAGTGCCCTTTCCTTTTCTGCCTTTGGTAACCACTGATGCAGCATCTCCCTCATGTCCACACAAGTCTGACTGCTTATTTGATATGTGTGTGTGTGTGTGTGTGCGTGCGTGTGTGCATGCATATGTTTTGTGTGTACACATGCATGTGTGTGCTTGAGTGTGTGTGTCAGTGTGTGTGTGTGCTTGAGTGTTTGCTGTGAGCCGTTGTCACAGCTGTCCTCTCTCTGAATAAGTCCCGCTGGTCCAGCGTAGCGGCTCAGAGTAGAATTTACCAGACAATTTCTCCAGGCTCACTGCACTCTGCTGCGTGAACAACCACCGGAGCTGTGAACTAGCCCCACAGCAAATCGCTACATGTGGATATATTTGCCATCAGTGAGCCATGCTGCTGTCGGACCAAATTATTGCTCTTGCAGCTCATGATGTGGAAAAAGAGCTTGACAGATCGTTCCTGGGGGACCCCTGGGGAGTGAGAGGATGAGACGAGGGAATCTGGGGTATTGCAGTCCTGTTCATTGAAAACTTCGTGCTATGCACTATGCTACATTCAATTTGATAAAATAGATAACAAATATATTGTCTCTGATTTTAAAAATAAGTGAAAAAAAAACAAAGACCACATGTTCTAATGTTCATTCTAAACAAATACAGAGCAGTAGAAGTGAAAATTTAATATTCGTACATTCCAGAGTCAGCATGTAGTTTTCCACTAAGCTAACAATAGTTGGCACAGTAGCTGCACAGTTGGCGAATAAATTATGACCAGTGATGTATTGTTGTATTTATACGGTGGTGAACTGCAGGTGAAAACTAAAATAGCTGACAGAATTTCAGTGGGCGTGTTGCACATGATTGACTGGAAAAAACTGGTGTTATTACTGTTATAATGCTATAATGATGCAGGTTCTCCTCGACTTCTCAATGATCATGACATACAGAAAACATTATGGTGGCATCTTCTTTACTCTTCAAGACGAACAAGAATAATACAGTGACTATAAGCTAAGAGCAAACGCACCGGCAGTGACGCAAAATGGGAAATAGACTTTGGACATTATAATAGAGTCCAGGGCTGAGCCCAGGACAGATATCCGGCAGCAGGATTACAGAACTCTTGGCGAGCCATGGGACACAGGAAGGGATTGTGTCCGGCCCGCAGTGATCTCACACCAGCTTGCTCTTTTATCAGACGTAGAACACGATGTGATTGACCTAAGAACTGATGCTAAAGCCCATCTTGTGTGAATTACAAGTGAAAGTCAAAGCAAAAGCGGATTTAACTTATTACCACTGCCTTCAAGTGTAACTTTGAAAATGAGCCGTTTCATTTTCAATGTTGGTGAATACAGATCATCTATGTGCTTAAAGCAGCAGTAAGCGATTTGGTCGTTTCCGGCAGTTTCTTCTGCCTGAGCGAGTTAGTAGCCCCGCCCCCGTCCCCTCGTCACACCACATGAACGCGCATCGTCTTGGTGATGGCAGCAGCACGTTCATCTCCGTCAGGTCTACTCGTAAGTATATTAACAACAAACTCTGGGAGTGAAATATTAGCATAGAATAGCTCAGTTGTAACCTAGCTATAACACTGGAAGCAGCTTGGCGTAGCTAGGATAGCATCACTAAGAAAGAGATAAAAAACAATCCAGTCTTTTATAGAATAATACTGCTTTTATAGTTTGGCACACTGATAACTGTTTTGATAAACATAATGTTGCAGATTGCAGTGTTGACGTGTCTCAACATTATGCACTGTAACATCTCTTACAGTGCATATGTATTAGATGAATGTAATGCATATACATTACAACAACAAAGCTTTACATGAAGGTTATTTAAAGTAATACATTACTGCTTTCCTCACAATTTGTATATTTGGACGTTCTTTATAGACAACACTGTAGTAATGTATTGTGTGAAAGTAAAGCTGCATCTCACTGGAAGCTGCCTTCTCAATGTCACAAAATAAAGATACATTTATTGAT